GTTTATCCCTTCCCCATCTTACAATACCGCTAGGGTCTCCGGCCATGTGATCGATGTTGCTGTACTCTATGCGTAATGTATGGGGTGTTGCAAACCATAATATCGTGTTGCGTAACCAATTCAGCTGTGTCGCAGTATTCAGGTATGGAGGTAGTTGGTTGTGGACTGTTGACTGTTGACCCGTATCATCGTTGTCATAATGTGGCCTTACTACGATGCTCTGGCGGGCATCGGTGAATTTCCCCTATACAGGCAACTTGTAGGCAACTATTGGCAGCTGTCACAGAGACTTGGATATCTTCATTCACTTGAGGGCTAGCATATCGTACACTCTAAACAAAGTCGACAGAGAAGCAAAGCGCGGGGTGGACGGCGCCCAAGGAGAGGAAACGGATACACGGGCTAGAGCATAGGTACACGAAGCAGGGGCGAAGGGATGCGATGATGTTACAATATCGTACACTGGACGGATGAAGGGGTGGACGAACGTCAGTTCGTCCACCATGCAAGAGAAGAGGGCGCGAGAGAGAGGTGTAATGAGAGACGGGGGCCGACGGCGAGTCGTCATAGGTGCAGGAGAAGTAACGAATGATTACTGGGATGGGCCAAGATCGTCCACGAAGGGTGGGTTGCAAGGTGCATATTCGCACAAGACGAACGAGTGGTCTTGGGTATCGAGGCCAAGATGGGGCCAGACGTGAAAAGCTGGGCGATTACCGGTAGCAAGTAACGAGAAGGACGCTCAAGCCGCTCTCCTTGACGGACTTGGCGGGGGTCTTCCTGCCACTTCGGATATCGCGGAGGAGCGCGGAGCGGGTGGGGTGCATGACGCTGCGGAGCGCGTCGACGCCCTGCGAGCGCACGGCGAGGTAGTCGCGGACGTTGAGGAACACCTGCGACTTGAGGAGCGCCTTTGCGGCGCGAAGGGAGCTCGGTAACGAGGGCAGCGAGAAGAACGACGAGTGGGAAGCCGGCCCGGTTGTTTGTGCGGACACAGAGGGGTAGAGGCCGAGCTCGATGATGAGCGCCTGGAGGAACGCGAGCTTCGACGCTCCCTTCTGCATGGTCGGGTCGGCGGAGAGAACCCTGCATAAGCGCGGCGGAGCCCCTTAATATCAGCTATACCATGAGAAGCGGCGGAAACGTACGACGACACATAGCTCTGTGCGCTCTCATACACACTCGGCGGCACGTACACGCTCGGGTACTCGGACCCGGCCTCCGAGACGTCGTCGACGACGGGGCGGTCGCCGAGACCTGCGAGATTCGGGCTCCCCGCAGCGGCTGCGCGAGCGGCGGCCCCCTTCGCCCTCCTGCGCACCTTCGTGGGGCTCTGGGACTTCAGCGATTCCTTGGACACCTTGGCGATGGCCTTGGTCGAGCCCGGGGACGACGCCGCGACGCCGTTGTCAGGTGCAGGGGCGGCCGCCCGCTTCTTCTTAACGCGCCGCCGCGAGCTCTTGGATGATGGCGAGCTCTTCGTGCTGCTCGACCGCGAAGAGCGCGGCTGAGATCGCGCACCTGACGCAGCGAAAGCAAGTGCGGAGAAGGACGTTACGAGGTCGTCTTCGCGCGGGGTGCGCGGGCGGCTCATGATCACAAACTCATCGTCGGAGAATACTCCGGGGGAGCGCGGGCCATCCGGCAGCTGTGAGAGGACCTCGAGGGAGGATATGTCGGAGAATGAGAGCACAATCTCGTCGTCGGAAGAGGGATCGTCCGAGACCGTGCCGTAGGAGTCGGACTCGCCGGAGGACGTAGTGTCCTGTGAAATGTTGCGCGAATGGGATGAGAAGTAGTCGTAGGACGAGAGCGACGAGCCCGGGGAGTGCACACGGAGGGGCGAGGACATGGTGGCGTCCGCAGAGAAAGTGAGAGTGAGGGAGAGTCAAAGGGAGGGAACGGAGGGGAGGCCGAGGACCGCCTGGGTAGCTGCTATAAGGGGCCGGCCTGTGAGATAGATAGGAATGTTGCACCCCCAAGACACGAGGGCTCGGCCGAGAGGGGCTGGCGATCAGGCCAGCTTGAAACAGACGGCCTCGAGGGGACAATGACGAGCTACGACGACGCGAGGCGAGAAGGAGAAGGCAGGCAGATGAGAGTCAGGACATGAGGTGCGCGCGCAAGGAAATGGGCCGCTCGCTTTTGTACCGCGCATCTGATAGTCTCCGACCCCGTTCCCAAGTCCTTCCCCATCCACAGATCGCCCGCTCGTCTCCCAGCGCACTGCCTGCCATCTGCGGTCATTCGGACAGAACGCCATTGAATTCGCTGCCGCCATATAACAATAGCCTTCCTATCAGTGGAATTACAGGCCCGCCATGTCCGACCGCGGGAACAGCCCGCGGCCTCCTGCGACCCAGATCTCACGGTGCCCTACGAGCAGATCCGCCAATAAACGACAGAGTTGTTCCAGCCTGCCACCGCCCGCTGTTCCACCTCGACGCCGTTTTTCCACACCTGTCCGCGCAGGTCCCGGACTTCCTTGGCCTTCTTCCGCGAAAGCATGAACCGCTCGCCCGCGGGAGTCAGGAGCACAGTCGGCGTCGGCACACTGCCCCGCTTTCCGTTCCCGAGCTGGTAGTCAAAGTTGGCTCCCCACATGACCACGTCCTTACCTCCGCCGCCGGGCCCAGCATGCTTCCTAGTGTCGAGCGTCAGCAGAACATGGCCCGTGGGAGAAATAGAGATAGTCTCGGGCACTATGGCCTGCAGGTTGTTCGCCCTCTCGCTGTCTACACGAGCAATGATGTCAGTGCTCCGCGATAGGTCATTAATCTAAGGCCGCTTACATTCGAAGAGTCCGCTAACGTTCTTGGCGCGGACGGGAGTACCTTGCGCATTACTGTAAAGCGCGTTGCCCAGGCCACCCCACTGGCCGTTGCCGCATGCCAGAACGTCGATGGACGGCATCCCCGAGCCATCCGCACGCTCGACTTCAAACATGGTGAGGTCGCCGCCTGCAGCCGCATGAGCGCCGTCCTAGGTTGTAACAGGCACAGTACTTACCGGCAAAGACGTCAACGCATGTTGTCCGCGTTGTCGCCGGGGTCGACCGCCACAAGATGACCTCCGTAGGCACCGTGATGGCCTCGAGCGTCACGTTCGCACCAAGCCCGATTTGCCTGCAACAAGACCTATCAGAGACGAACACACGTTCAAGGGTCTCAAAGTTGCCTACCCGAACTCGTTTGCGCCCCAACCGAGGACCTTGCCCGTGGAGGTTTTCGCGAAGCTGCTCCGCCCTCCGGCCGCAACGCGTTCGACTTTCACACCTCTGAGGGCCGGTACCTCGAAAAGTCTGTCGGAAAAATGGATATTGGAGTCGTCCAGCCCTGCGGCTGCTGCTTCCTTGCCTATGAAGGCCTCGGTATTCCTCGCGGTTGAACCAGCGGGTCGAATCGCGGGGCTTGACTTTGCATACGGATCCGCCGTGGACTTGGGTGTTAGCTCGAGCGGGACACGGGGGTGTTTGTGCGGGAGGTGGGTGTCCTTGAGGTCGGCGGAGGCAGGGACGTCACATTTACGGAAACCGAGCTGGCCGTGCGAGTTTGCGTTAAGCGTGATAGGATGCGCGAACGTACGGCCGTCGGACGTGAGAGCAAGCATATGGTCCAACCCTGCGGAAATCTGAACGAACCTGCAACGAAGATGAAGCCGCGCTCAAAGATAAAAACGCGGTGCATGCGCACCTCTCGCCTCGCTTCAGCTTGTCGTTGGAGGTCACCTCTGCGAAGTCAACCTCTTCCTCCTCTCCCCAAAGCCATCCGGTCCCCCACCATGGCGTGCTTGCAGGGGTAGGCGCACCGGGAGCAAGGGTTTGGTCCGCTTGGCGCGACGACAACACGTAAACCCTTCCTGAAGCAGAGAGCGCGAACACACGGGAACGCGTGACTTGGAGTTGTGTTATGTTCTAACGTATAGAGACCATATCGTCAGTATCCTCGTATGATCTCGCCAAATTACGCCCTACCTTTCCTCGCAAGGTGAGACGCGGTTTCCCATGCGACGAACCAGATTCAGTCCCGAAAAACCCGTCGCCCCATTGATACACGTCCCCTCTTGCATCGACGCATGCAGCATGTTGTTCATGCAGGGCTAAGTCACGTAGCGCGACGTTGTTGAACCATTCGGAGCTTGTCGGAAGACGGACAGACTCGGGGAGTTCCCCGTCCAATGTGTGTGTCCTGCAAGCAGATGACCACGCGTACACAATACTAAGTTTGACGTATACTCACCCATTCGCGCCCCACACCAAGGTAGTGAGTTCGGCGTCTACGTTCCTCGTCCCGCCATTTACCTGCGTGCGGGCCTTCGAAGTCGAAGGCGCGTCGTTGTGTACAGTCCCACCGACACTAGACGCGTACAAGGCAGCTCCAGCTACTGCGACGAGAGTGGAGGTCAAGACCAAGGTCGTTGAGCGCGAGGCGGCAGCATGTGGATGCTGAGAGTGGAACCGCCTGCCAGCGGCCCGTGCTGAGGCGGAGGGGTTTCCCAGAATACGCGTAGCTCCCCGAAGCATAGCACTCCAGCTGGACCTCGTAGGGGTGTGAATTGCCAGAGTGGAGGAAACTTGCACTACGGTGGCAGACGAGAGACTCGAGAGAGCCAATGGCTTGCCGAAGTATTGTAACTGAAGTCGGGAGTGGCGCTCCGCTGGATGTGCCGCAAACCCGACTGGCCATGGTTTGTTGTGATTGTTTAAATATCAGCCTTCGATAGCTCAGCTGGAAGAGCGTGAGACTGTAACTGGTTACACTACGACATCTCAAGGTCGCTGGTTCGAACCCGGCTCGAAGGATTCTTTTTGACAGCGAACAAAATCATCGCATACATGTGTATGATCGATGAACCCCAAATTCTCCTAGTCAGGCGGACAGGTAGGTGCGAATAGTGTCTTTAAAGGAGGCCTTTATCTCTTTGCTCATGGGTAATTATGTAATGACTTTGTCTAGGAGTTCAGGACTAGAGTGAGCTACACGCCGATCCCAAAAAAAGAATCCTTCGAGCCGGGTTCGAACCAGCGACCTTGAGATGTCGTAGTGTAACCAGTTACAGTCTCACGCTCTTCCAGCTGAGCTATCGAAGGCTGATATTTAAACAATCACAACAAACCATGGCCAGTCGGGTTTGCGGCACATCCAGCGGAGCGCCACTCCCGACTTCAGTTACAATACTTCGGCAAGCCATTGGCTCTCTCGAGTCTCTCGTCTGCCACCGTAGTGCAAGTTTCCTCCACTCTGGCAATTCACACCCCTACGAGGTCCAGCTGGAGTGCTATGCTTCGGGGAGCTACGCGTATTCTGGGAAACCCCTCCGCCTCAGCACGGGCCGCTGGCAGGCGGTTCCACTCTCAGCATCCACATGCTGCCGCCTCGCGCTCAACGACCTGGGCCTTGGTCTCTATTTTAATCCACGGCGGGTGAAGCGGAGTGAAAATCGATACAGTAAGGTTAGGCCATTGCCAAAATATATCCAACCCAGTGGGGCTTACCACGGAGATTGCTCCAATAAATTATACGAGATTGTCGACAACTTCTGCTGTTGGATTCACCGCTTCCTCTTCAAGTTAGTCCCCTACAATTCCACGGGACTCGGCGACCTCGCCAGCTTTTCCCGGTGTCTTCTGTTCCGGCCCTCTGTCCTCTGCGAGCTTCCTCTTGAATCGCCTGAGAAAATGGGTCGCGATGTTCAACATCATCCTCCCGATGAATACAGCAATGGCGGCATGTATAGGGTCCAGGACGTCGTCGTTCTTCGACGGTTCGCGTAGTGCGCGCTGCCACTGCGCGGTATACAAACGACCCGAGGGGACCTGCCGATACCATCCGAGTGAACTTTGCGCGTTCTGATGAGACGAGGTTACGCATCCGTTCAATCTGGCTCCGCCTGCCCATCAGTTCACGACGATGTAGGAAGAGAATGTGCGTAGATCGAAGAAGCGTGGGGAGTGTGACAAGGGTCGCTCCGATCAGCGTGAATACGAAGGTAGGACCAATATTGGCTGCACGGAAGACGCCTAGCGAGTCCATTTTTGACGCGATAGTGTAGGAAAGGAGCAGGTGGCCAACCACTGCCCCAGCGATGTTGTAGAGCATTGAGATAGTAAACGTCAAGTATACAACGGCTATCACCAAAGCTAGAACGGAAGCACGGGAGTGAAGGGGAAAGTCATTTCGCCCTGGCTGCTTATCATGCTGGCTTGGGGGCGTAGTAGGGGCGCAATCCGTCTCGGCAACGGGTGTTTCGCCCCCTACGGGTAACTTTACCGGAGACTTCATATAGCCTAAGTTAAATCTTCAGCAAAGATCGTACGCGGACTAATTCTCAGAGGGTGAACTGACCCGACTTAGACTGGCTGTGTCCTGAAAGTAATCGCAGTCCTCGACGATGCTGCGGGAATGTCAGGTCTATCCGAGTCGGACGGGAAGCCGTTTTTGCCTTTATGTAGTTTCCTCCGAGACGCAGAGAGGCAATCTATGCATCCCTCGCCTTCTTCTAGATGGCGAGACAACTGCGGCCGCATTAAGGCCGCCACTAGCGGTGACCGTTTCAAAATCACATCTGACCGCAGACAAGCTGCCAGGTGCGGCTGTTGGGTCGGCCATCGCGAACCATCTATTCCAGTCTCGCACCATTGATCGGTGCTCAACGCTCAGCTCGTAGAGTTTGTGCCAGTCAGACAAGGGTGTCAGGCCCGTAATAAGACGAACTAACAGTCGTAGTCGGTAGAGAAAAACCAAAAAAGCAGTACTTGGTGCCACTGACTTCGCCAGACAGCGACTCTGGACCAGCACCGAAATTGGAAGTATGACTTTGCGTGGCGGTGCTGGTGTTCTCAGGCCCATAATAATGCTATTGAGATTCGGGTCCGCCGTGCAGCCTGGACTGCAATGCTTTGTCGTGCAACCACCACTCGTCCGAGTAATCACCAACAGCACTAAGTGCTAGACCCCAGCTCTGCAACTGCTACTGGCACGCCGCCCTGGCGAAACTCACAGACCAAGTCCGTGTTGAGTCTGGATCATCCGCTGCCACCAGCCTGAGGTCCACTCATCTCAAGTTTGTAGACCCCGATTCCTTGGAGTGACGAGCTTCATCCCAGCCACCGATGGACGCCACGGTCAAAGGTACTAGTGTTAGGTTGTCAATATCTGACAGAAGAAGTTGATGTGTACTGTTAGATCTTGAGGTCGGATTGGGTTCAGAGACACCTCCGACCATCCCGCTGGCTTCTCCTGATGGAGGCTCCATATCACTCCCTATGCACGACTCCGATGGCAAGCGTCCGGTCAGTTTGGCAGAAGGCGACGTGGCACAGGTTGCCCCTCAACGTTCCTATGCCTTAGTGGTGGGCCGGCTCACTTCTTGGAGTACACGTCTCCGCACCCAAGCCTCCACCAGATGGACTGAAACATATCCGCATGTGCTCGACTCTCTTCGGCGCACAATCAGACTCTGCGGTCTCAGCCTGATGCTCATCTTCGTGGTCGCGCTCGCTTGCTTCTTCATGGCGCTCTCTCATTGGTGCACCATAGTGTTCGGACACGTCCTCCTCCGCTACACCTTCCCAGTGTCCGTCGACGACACCTTCGTACGAAGCCGTTTGGACGACACCATGATTTTCGCCGGGATTGGGGCATTCGTCGTTAATCTCCCCCAGTTCCTCGTATTCTTACTGTCCTTCCCACTCACGTTCGACCGCACCGTCCTCGAGGGGAGCACCGCGCCCGCGAATGAGTTCGTCAAGCGTATCACGCCAAAGAACCGCTATGCCCTTGCATTCATGAAGTACGCGCCGCGTCTCCTCGCTGGGCCCATTGGATGCCAGATATTTTGGTTCTTCTCTGGTGACAACGACTTGGACGAAACTCTGGATCCTCTGCACGCCACTATCGCCGGAGTCGCCGGAGAAGTGGCGTTGACCCTGCTGGGCATGCTCAAAGGCCGCTTACGGCGTAAACGGCCGGATGCGGCCACAGATGGGGTAGGAAAGGAAGAGGGGGAGATGTTGCCTTTGCCGACCACTGCCTAGCTTAGACACGTTGGCGTCTAGAAAGACCTTTACAGGGTTCTTAGGGTTTATGGATGGTATGCTTGTTGATTTGGTTTATATGGGCTTATTCTGAGGGCGTGTAGAGTATGCTTCATCGTGTGTTATAGTTCACACTACCTACTCATGCATTTGAGTCCTGGGTCCAAGAAATTCCATAATTATTAGTAGAGTACACGGTCGTACGGCTGCGACGCTCTTGCAACGTTTCAGCGGCCCGAACCAAGTTGAGGCCTCTCTTCTTGGACCTTGGGGTTGACCCAGGTGGCCTGTGGACGACTCGCGGTCAGCAGCTTGCCGTGAACCATACTTTAATGTGGAATCGCACTCACCAACATTGTTGTCTTTTCCTCACCATCATCACTGACCCATCTTTTGACCGAATCCTGATGTACGCTGACACTGTTCACATAGCGTGCCAGATTCTCTACCTTCTCATGATCAATGTCGTACTTGTTTGCGAGCTCGACCAAATGTTTTGGCGTGGAAATGTATTTTCGCTCTTCGAGAAGGTCCATAAGGGTACCGGCCACAAGATGATTGTGCGGCGGTCGCGCAGAGCGTGCTTCATCTTCCGACCGGAGACGAGTCTGGAAAAGACGTTGCGCCTGGTCGGCGGCCTAAGAACCAATCAGTTGAGGCAATTTTTAAACACGTAGGGTAGGACTTTGCTGGTTTGATGGTCTGCATATGGTGGTCAACCCTAACTTGTCCAAGCCTACTGAGGTTCGCCATCAAGTGAGGGTCTTTTGAGTCTTGTTCAATAGCTGAAGCCGCAGTTTGAATGCGTTAATGGTCTACAATAACAATGCAGCTTACCGTAGTTTTTGATTTCACTTGCTCGTGGCATAGAAGACCTGGCTGGTGGTACCCGCTCTCCCGCACTGGGCGTTCTGGCACCAGCCCATGAAGGAGGTGCTCTGGCCAGCTTGCGCGCAGGTTTTGATGCCGCAGAGCCCATACTATCTCCCCTCTAGTGTTTGATGGTAATCAGCTGTTGGTGAAGCCAAGGAATCCCAGGAAGATGGAAGTGTGCGAGGACGGTAGCAGGAACTTGAAGACGAGCACAATTGAACGCTTGCGGTTGAGCGCCACCGCGCGCTGGCCCCGGCGCGATGACGCTGTGAGGAAGACCGGGGACGCCGGGCCGGCACAATCTTGTCCGCGTTGAGCACGACGTCCAAGGCCGCGCGACGAGTCTGTCCTCGTCCTCCTCCCCGCCCTCGCCCGTCGTGACGCCCTGCCATGTCCAAACGGCGCGTCACCTACTATTATGACCGTAAGTGTACTCCTTATCTTTTGTGTCGACCCGCGCGTACTTATCGACCGCATAGCGGACGTCGGTTCTTACACCTATGGGCTCTCGCACCCCATGAAACCTCAACGGATGCGCATAACACACGAGTTGCTCACTGCGTATGACATGCTTCCGAAGATGCACGTGCTCGTGAGTGAATGGAATCTGGATTTGAGCGCGTTGCTGAAGACAGTCGGAACAGAGAGCAAAACGCGCATCTGCAGAGACAATGACGAGGTTCCACACCGATGAATACGTGCATTTTCTGTCGAAGGTCACCCCGGAAAACGCGCAACAGTTGACGTATCAAGGGTCACGCTTCTTGGTCGGGGAGGATAATCCTGCGTTTGATGGCGTGTTTGAGTTCTGTTCCATCTCTGCGGGCGGCTCAGTAGGTGCGTGGTCGCGTTTCTGCCTCGCGCCCCCCACTCAAACGGTTCTGCAGCCGCGGCAAATCGCCTTATGAATGGCCAGACCGACATCGCGATTAATTGGGCGGGTGGACTTCACCACGCGAAGAAACGCGAGGCGTCGGGCTTCTGCTATATCAATGACATTGTCCTCGCTATCCTCGAGATGCTCCGGACAGTCCCTCGCGTGTTGTACATCGACATCGACTGCCACCACGGTGATGGCGTCGAGGAGGCATTCTACACTACAAACCGCGTCATGACCTGTTCCTTCCACAAGTTTGGGGAATACTTTCCCGGTACGGGAACGTTAGAGGATAGGGGCAGGG